CACTAGGTGGTGGCACCTTGCTGCTCACAGGTAGGAGGGGTGTTTGGGAGGTGCAGGGGGTGAGTGTCCACATGCACAAGCACCTGAATGACCCAAACCCACCAGTTTTCCCCTCACAGAAGCTGCCAGCAGCCGTTGCATCGCTCCACTTGTCACCTGTGTTTTCAAGCAGGCAATGGGCACCTGCATCCCATCAATGCCACATGTCTTCCATGGTGCCTGCACTATTTGCTGTCTCTGCTTCCCCAACAAAAGGCACTTTTATCCTTTATTTCACTGAGCTGCACTGAATACTTTCCATTGAGCCCCATCCACCTCCTCCATTCTTCCCTACTGCCAAAACCCTTCATGATGGCAGAGAGGGAATGGTGCTCCATCCCCTCCAGGGACTGGGGCTCTGCTTTGGCCCCTCAGGTTCCGATGAAATCTGCAGCAGTTGCCTTAGCTCAGGGACAGGTCTTCTTTGCAAATGTTTCCTTTGATTTTATACTATTATTGTTATTAATTTCATTAAGGTAACAGAGTGTGACTGAAAATTAAAAGGAAAACTAAACTGAGTGTCCCTGAGCTTGCCATGTTTCTGAGCCCAGCTGGGGATGAGGGTCCCAGCACTGAGGACTCCCTTTGAGTCCCACTCTCTGCAGGTCCAGCCTTGGGGCCAGTTTGTGGAAAGCCAAATCTGTAAAAACGAGTGGCAGCAGCAGCCACAGCTCCAGCCACGCTGCAGAGCCGCCCGTGCCTTCCTGGGCTCAGCTGCCTCCCCGTGGTCACTGCTGCTGGGAAATGCTTTTCCTCTGACGGGTTTCAATCTTGTCATTCAGTAATTCCTTGTGTGACAAGACAGAAAACACCCCCAGACCCTCTCTCCAGCCCATTTGTTTCCCTGCACACCCTCCTCCTGCTCCCACTCACTCACCACCTTCCAAGGCAATCATGGTGCTGCGATTGCTCTTCAGGAATATTTTTTTTTCCTTTTCCCCAGGTGCCTAATCACCCTTATTACCCTTTTCTGATTAATTAATTCTAATTAATTTTGCACTATCATTTTTGAGAGGAGGTGACCAGGACAGCACATGTTGTTGCAGGTGATTTGCAAGGCAGGTCCTGCAGTGCCGGCACAGCCCTTCCCTCGGTGCCATTTAACCCGGGTCCAGGTGGGCACCTCCTGCCCTGTTTGATGCCATTGATGGCAATTAAAAGGGCACTGAAACCTCCAAGGCCATGGGAGGAGCGCTGAGGTGCTTTCCTGGGAACCACAGGGGATGTTCCCATCTCCTCTGCTCTGCCTTGGCAGCAGGGTTCAACCCTGGCCAACCCTGCCCCATGCCCACCTTTGCCCAGCTCCTTCAGCTGGCTCTGCTGTGCCATGGCCAAGGCTTGGGAAGTCAGAACAAATTAGGTCAGGGCTTCTCCATGCTCTGCCAAGAGCCACCAAGGCACTCAGAGCCACAGCAGAGGTCCCTTTGTCACCTCTCACCTTCCAGCCCTGGTGCCAGTCCTCCTCCAGGTACCAGCAGGGGCTTCTGTGTTGCCCAAGGGCCTCTGTAGGCAAAAGCTGACATGGTTTGGGTGATTCTGCACTTAACACAGATGCCTTGGGGACAGAGGGCATTGTCCCTGCTTGTTCCAGAAGCATCCCCTGGTCTGTGCCTCATCCCAAGCACCCAGCCAAGAGAGGGGACATGGGCTGGGGGGCTGCAGCCACACTCTTGGCCTTGTCAGGGCTTCCCATGTCCCTGTCACCAGCCACTGGTCGCTGTCCCCAAACAGTCTGGAGCTGGTCAGGCACTTCTGCTGGCCAGGTGTCCCTGCAGCACAGCTCAGGGCTGGGACTGTCCCTCCCACCTCGCTGGCACTGTCCATCCCACCTCACTCCCTTGGCTGCTGGCTCTTGTCAGGAGGCTGCAGCACCCCCAGCAACGCTGCTGACCCCCCAGAAGCCCAAAATATAAAAACCATATTTATTATATGTAGTATCATAGATGTGATAGACTATAAACTGCAGCTAGTAGATAATGGGTATAATGAATATATATAAATACCATATATAAAAAAATACAATGTGTGCATAATAGTGTGAATATAACTGTGTACATATGTGTATATATACCATATATAGTATAGATTTATTCCTACAAATATTATATATACAGCCTACCATATACATCATTCATATATAGACATATATTTGTATACCAGATAGGCAGATAGATATAGGTATATGCATATATAGGTGCACAGATATAGACATATAAATGTATAGATATACACACATACATACACAATATAAAAACATTTTTAATGTGTTTGTATGGTGCACAGGTTTTGGTGAGAGGAAAGAGGGAGAGAGAGGGAATTATATATGTCCTGGCTCCCTGGCCAGTGCAGGGCAGTGAAGAGGAAGAGGAAGAGGAGGAAGACACAGAGAAAAGGTACAGCGGGGAGGAAAAGAGAGAGAATACAAACTGCTCCAAGTTACAAACGCTCCCCTCTTTGATTAATTGTACTTTCTGTTTGATAAATGTTACTCATGAGTATAAAATATGCAAAGCACTTAGTAAGTTCACACTGTTTAAAGAACTCAACTAACTAAATTAAAATTCGATGATGGAGCAGAGCTGCTGAAGAGCAGCGTGGCAGCGCTGGCTGGGGAGCCGCTCTGGGCCACAGCCACACAGCACTGCCCTGAATCCCCCCTGGAAAACCCAGCCCAGGGGACACGGGGGAGTTTGGTGGGGCCATGGGTGGGCATTTCTTCTGTGGTCCCCAGTGCCCTGCTTGGGGTGGTGAGGGCTGTGAGGGGCCATTCCAGAGCATCCTCAGACCCAGCCCCAGTGCAGGGCTGTCTGCTGGCTTGGGTGAGGCTGGGCTAAATTGCTTTAATTTCTAAGATCTAACCATTGCATCCAAGAAACCTGCTCCAGTGACATGGTGGCTCCAGTCTACCACCCAAACCCCAGACCAGGAATTTTGTGGCACTCAGTGGAGCACCCCACAGTCCCACCCTGTGCCCCCTCACCCTGAACCACCACATCACCCTGGAGAGTGACACCTCCCTGCACACTCTCAGTCCTGTATCCTTCCAGCCCATTGAAAAAACAAACAAACAAACAAACAAAAAAACAACTCAGCCAGTCTTGGCTTTCCCAAAATCACAGCTGAGCCCCCTCAGGTGACAGGGAGACCCCCGGCATGGGAAGGTTGAGGGATCCAGTCCCCCATGGGAGTCCTGCCAGCTCCTCTCTCTACCCCCTCAGGGCCTGGGGGATGCAGTGAGCGCTCTGGGGGGGACGAGGTGTGCCCTGGGAGGATGCATCAGGAGAATGCAGTGGGAGGATGCATCAGGAGAATGCAGTGGGAGGATGCAGTGTGGACACCGAGCAGCGTCCCTGGCTCTCAGTGCAGTGGCCAGTGTGGCTTGCACTGGCCCCACTCCCCGGCCTCCAGCTCCCTGCCCTGCCATCCCGGGTGAGCAGGGCTGGCTGGAGGTGCTGGGCTTCCAAAGCAGCAGCAGCAGCAGCTGTGTCAGGCAGGTAGCAGCTCCCTCCTGCCCGCAGCTGAGAGGAGAAAGAAGGAGGAAAACCTGGCCTGGATCTGGCCTGACTGAGCTCTTCCCTCACTGATCCAAGCACCCCACTGGAGAGGTTTAAGTCACTGGACAACCCACAAGACCCCAAGCCACCATCACTGTCTCACAGCACCTCACTGGAAACCCAAAAATATCCTAAAACCAGCCTTAACAGTGATGGAGCTTCAAGTTCATAATTTCTGTGATGCCAGCAAAACCAGGCAGAATGCTGGTGCTGATGGGAAAAACTCTTCAAGTCTTACTGCCATTGGGTATTTCTTCACCTCCGCATTCTCCTGAGCCTCCTGCCAACCCTCCAGCCAAGCCCAGCTCTCAGGGCAGGAAGATGCAGGCAGGGAATGAGCAGGACAAAGAGATTTGACCAGGCGAAAGAAAATCTTTTTCTCCAAAGATTGAAGTCTTCACTAGCTGAAAGAATCCTTCTGCAAGGTATGACCCTGCACCTCCGACGGGCAGAGACTAAAATAATCCACACTTTGCAAAACTTCCTGGGAAGATTTCGGCAGGCAGGGATGAGCTGGTGTGGCACCACAAGGCGCTGCTGCGGAGCCAGCCCCGAACCCAACCAAGAACCCAGCCCATAACCCAACCCCGAACCCAGCCCCAAACCCAGCCCTGAACCCATCCCCAAACCCAGCCCCGAACCCAGCCCCAAACCCAGCCCATAACCCAACCCCGAACCCAGCCCCGAGCCCAGCACCGGGTGCATCCCTGAACCCATTCCCGAACCCAACCCCGAGCCCATCCCGAACCCAACCAAGAACCCAACCCCGAGCCCAACCCCGAGCCCAGCCCCGAACCCAACCAAGAACCCAGCCCCAAACCCAGCCCCAAACCCAGCCCCAAACCCAGCCCTGAGCCCATCCCGAGCCCAGCCTCAAACCCAGCCCCAAACCCAGCCCCAAACCCAGCCCCAAACCCAGCCCCAAACCCAGCCCCAAACCCAGCCCTGAGCCCATCCCGAGCCCAGCCTCAAACCCAGCCCCAAACCCAGCCCCAAACCCAGCCCCGAACCCAGCCCTGAGCCCATCCCGAGCCCATCCCAAACCCATCCCGAGCCCATCCCCGAACCCATCCCGAGCCCATCCCTGAACCCATCCCCGAACCCATCCCGAGCCCATCCCTGAACCCATCCCCAAGCCCATCCCGAGCCCATCCTGAGCCCATCCCCAAGCCCATCCCGAACCCATCCCAAGCCCATCCCAAGCCCATCCCGAGCCCATCCCGAGCCCATCCCCAGCCCCCGGCACATCCCACTGCGGCACGGCCGATGCCGCTCCCGGTGGGAAGGAGCCGGCCCAGCTTATCCTTGCAGTTTGAGCAATGATTTCGCCCCTGTGAACCCACCCGGCTGTAAATCCTGGCACAGACAAGCCCCAAACATTCATTTCGGGCGACGCAGTTTGTGTCATCTCGGCATTAGCATTTGCACTCTTATTAATTAATACTTGTTAAACCAAGACTAAAAATAAAGCGCTCGGCTCCCGTCTCAGCTAACGCCTCTTTGCCCTCGCCCGCAGCAGGGCTGGGCTGCGGCGGGCTCAGCACCCAGCTGCTCCCTTCTCCACAGCCAGATCTGGAAGAAAAGGGCTGTGCTGAAGCAGGAATCCTGCTAAAGCAAAAATCACCCCTTTCTGCACCACCTTGGTGGGACAAGCCAGCCTCACCAACCATGGCAATGGGGGGAGTGACAGGGACAGCAGCACACACAGCATTTAACTTTTTTTTTTTTTTTCCCATTCCAGCTTCTGAATCTGTTTTTCTTTTGCTGCTCTTCTTCTTCCTGGGCTGGGCCAGCTCGGTTGCACTTCCCATTCAGAGCTGATTTCATTTCCCAGGCGGGACATCCCGGGAGGGCTCGTGGTCAGGAAGGAAATGGTTCATCACAGGTGAGCTCAGGGCCTGCACACAGGCAGGTGCTGCCACTGCTGCTGTCAACAGCATCCAACAGGCAGCAGATGCTGCAAAAATCCCTTTTTCCTCTCTGGGACTGGTACTGCCCATCAGCATCCCTTTGGATGCAAAGCAAGTGGCTGCACATGTGGGTTAGTGCTGCTGCTGGAGCACCTGTGGAGGAAAAAAGGGCCTGAAATGGGGGTCAGAAAAGCTTTTGGGCAATCCCAGGGGTGAAACTCAGCTGGGTTTGGACATAGGTCGTGGTGGTCCCCACCACAATCCAGCCAAACATTAAACCTACCAGGTTCCAGTTTCCTCAGTTCCCAATTTCCCAAGCTCTTGGGCCCCCTTCAACCTCTCAAACTCTCAGATCAAACACCTTCCCGTATAGATTCTATAGATTCCACACAGATCTGCAGCACACAGACCTATGGAGCCAAGGCACTCGGAGCCAAGGCACGGTGCTGGATGGATGGAGCTGTGCCAACTGCAGGGAAGACAGCCTGGCCTGCAATATTTAATAACATTAATGATAATAACAGTAATAATAACAACAGTAATTTGTTAGTTAACCGTTATTAATGAAAAACAAGTCTGCAAATTTATGCAACTCCAGGAAAGCCCCAGGTCACCAATCTTCTTGTCTTAAATCACCAAACGCTGTAACTCTTGGCCATTCCTCTGCCTTGGGTGTTCTTCCCAGAGCCCTTGGTTTAATCTGCTGGAGAAGCCCAGGCTCCAGCAGAGCAGAGCTGGAGTTCAGGTGCCATCCTCCTGTGGCAGCCAGGTGTGGATTTGGGGGTACCAGGAGTGGATTTGGGGGTACCAGGAGTGGATTTGGGGATACCAGGAGTGGATTTAGGGGGTGGAGGGGCTCTCCCAGCCCAGGGTGTTGGAAGGAGGAGCTGATGCAGGTTTCCCCTGAGCCTGGCTGGGTAGCAGGGCTGGCAGCAGGAGCAGCACTTGGGGATGCAGCACAGCTCACAGTGTTGGGAGTGAATGTTAATGGTGCCGAGCTCCTGGGAGAAATGATCAAATTCTTTGAATAAAGCGGGTAGGAGAGGAAGGGGAGGGGGAGGAAGGGAAAAGAACTCCACAGATTAATTCTGCTGATGAAAATTAAAACTGGGCATTGCTGAAGCAACCCCAAAATGAGCAGCTTTGGAGCCACAGCTCAACCTCAACCTGGGTGATGTCTGCCTGAGCCCCTGCCTGTGCCCCCAGACCCACCAGTGGGTTCAGCCAGGGTCTCCCTGTGTGCCCTGGGACAGGATCAGGTCCCAGGGCTGTGAAGGGATGTGCTAATCCTGCTGTGAGCATCCCCCGTCCAACAGTCTTTAATTTCATCCCTTGTGCCTTCACTTCACTCAGCTTCACTTGCCCAGAGGGCAAAGCTGGAGCACCCAGAATTGTGAGGTTCATTTCAATAGCAAAAGTTTTAAAGAAATTAAATGTTGTGAGTTTTTAATTCATTTGTATTAACTATCTTGAGCCTTTCAAGACTTGGTTTTGCCCATTGTGGTCTCTGGTGAGGGTGGCTCCAAAAGTCCTCCTCTCCCAAAAAGAAGGCAGAGACTCAGCAGTGATCACAGGCTTCAGGGAGCTGCTGCTTTAAAATAAAATAAGGTAAAAATTTGGGACTGGAGCATGCCATGAGCTGCAGGATACAACCCTCCCAGCCAGCAGCTTCCTCCTGCTCTGCTCCTCTTGGAGCTGGAAAGCTCCTGTGGAGCCTGGGAAGTCCCGTGGGAGGGAAGTGACTCCAGCATTCCCAGGGTGCCTCCAGGGGCACAAAGGGACTTTCCTTGGCTGGAATTACCACAGGCACATCGGCTGGGGCTGGAGAGGGCACAGGGCTCTGAGCTGGGGGGCACAGGGGAGCTTCAAAGCTCTGTGCTGGGGTTGGGGCTGCAGCAATGGCGGGGGGACACCCATGGGTGGGACTCCCCTGCACGTCCTGCTCAGCTGCCCCCCACCTTCCCTCCCGCCCGCTGTGCTGCCAGCCAGCCCCTCTCCCTGGCTGTGATTTCATTTTGATCTCGGGCTGCTTCCCTCCCTCCCTCCCTCCATCCCTCCTCCCTTGCTGGCTGCTGCCAAGTCCGCAGGTTCCCGCTGTGACCTTGAGCTGGTTTCTGGAGCCGGTTGTGGGTTTCTTAAAGGAGCCATGGGGGTCTCCCACCACCTCCCTCCTGCTGCCCCAAACTCCAGCCCAGCCACACACTGGCCCCCCTGGGGTTGGGGGGAACAGGGAGTGAGAGCAGGGACCCCCCAAGGACACAAAAACTGGGAGAGGGTGGAAGTAGCCAATTCTGTGGCCGCAGTTTCATAGGTTGGCCACACTCACCACCAACTCCTGGGCATTTTCTGAGGTCAAACAGCCACTGGGAAGGGGGTTCCTGGCACCAGCTCTGTGCACAGGGAAGAGGGGGCAAAACCCCCAGTTGGGTGTGGTACCCAGAGAGAGTGGTGGCATGGGGGGTATGGGGGTGCTTGGGCTGGGGGTGCACCCACCTCTCAGCATGATGGGTCTGTGGCCCTCCCTGGCTGTGCCGTGGCCCTTGAAGCCCCATGGGAAGCCCCTTGAAGCCCCATGGGGAAGCTGCTGCTTGCACCCAGCAGTGGGTGTTACACAGAAACTCCAAATCCCACGAGCATCCCTCTGCCCCCGTGAGCAGTGAGCAGTGCCTGAAGCCTCAACAGGACAGAAACCATGCAAAATGTCCTCACTACAACTCTTAAGGCCACATCAAACCCACCCAGAAAAATTATTCTCCAGGTTAAAGCCCATGTGGGATGTGGCATGGGCCCATGGGGAATCTCAGATTTTGGGCTGAGACTGAGAATCCAAAAAGCACCTCAAAGTGCAAACAGCTCTGGTGTGGATGTGCACAGGGAGACTCTCCCAGGAGCAGCAGTGTCCTGGTGCTCATGCCACGGAGGTTTTAAGCTGTGATTTAGCTAAGCTAGACAGGCTGAGGTTCCAGCCTTGCTTGCCCAGTCCAGGCCATCCTAAAAGCTCCATCAGCTGGTGAGGACCCCAATCAATAGGAGCCTTCAAGGCAAGTCATAAAACTTTGAAATTATGCAGGCAGCTCTCAGTGCTCCGCAGCAAAGGCAGTCTTTAATTCATGGGGATGCTCCCAGGGAACCAGTGAGAGGGCTCTTAAATGAGGGAAAATAACAAGGGGCTGCACTGGTGCCACCTTCATGGGGTGTACAAGGCTTGGATGGGCTTGGAAGGTGCTGCAGTGACAAACCCACAGCTGAGCCTTCCTCCCTGCCCCGCCCAAGCACCACATACAAACCCATTGGAGGTGCTGAAGAAATCCAGAGCTGCCTGCAGACTCCACCTCGGAGCATCTCTCAATCCCAGGGAGATCCTGAGTGCACAGCACCCCTCTCTCCACTGTACAGGTACAGGGATTGTGGGGCTCCATGCTCCTGGGAACCCCCAAAGCAAGCAGTGTCCTGTGAGCTGGGAACCAGCAGCACCTTCTGCCTTGGACGTGGAGCTCACGGTGGCTGATAACAGCATGGGAAGGAGCAGGAAGGGATGTTCTCAGCCCCCTCTACTATAGATGTAGAGGGAAACTGAGGCACTGCAGGGTTGTAGAAGCAGAAGGGATAAAGGATAGTTACAGGAGAAACTCAGTAGTATCCTTGACCTGGAACAGACCAATCCCTCAGGAAATAAAAACCCAGGGAAAAAAAAGGCCATAAAATATAAGAGTCACGTTTGGACCACATAAAGGCACCAACAGGCCACCAAAAGTCACAACACAGTAGCCAAGGCATCCTTGCGAGCCCCTTATCCCACAAGGAGAGGAGAAATCTCACCTCTGCCACCTTCACCCAAGCTGTTGGGACCCGTGCTCTGCACAAGGAGCCAGGTGCAGCCCGTGGGTGACAGGGACCGAAGTGCTCCGGGCTGCTGAGGCAGCACAGGGGCTCAGCCATTGTCCCCAGCACCGTGGGGCCAGCTGGGGAGAGCCCAAACCCACGTCCCACCCAGCGTGGGGACACAGCCCCCGGCCCAGGCAGCGCCACAGCAGGAGAAGGAGGGAATGGAGTGGGATAAGGAAGGAGAGAAGGGAGGAGAGGGAAGAAAAGGAGAAAAATGAGTTTTCCTGCTGCCCCAGTGGTGTGGCGATTGATCGGGTGCAGGCTGGTGTGGAGCGGTGCTGAGAGCCTCATTCCCCACCGCCGGCTCACAATTATTGGAAAAAGCCCGGCGCTGCTGCTGCAGTGAAATTAGTTATTGATCTCTTGTCTGGGTGACAAGCTCGGTGCTGGGGCTGCTCTCCCACCCACCGCCCAGCCCCGCAGCTCCTCCGCCCGCCCCGCCGGGGCTCAGCCCTCCGCGGCTGCTCCCGGCCGGTACCGGGAGAGGAGCGGAGCTCTCGGGGCTCAGCCCTGCCCCAAAGCCGCTCCCCGAGGCGGTTTGCTCACCCCACCGCACTCAAGGAAGATGCCATGGGAATAAAAGGATGGGAGCCCTGAGCGCTGACAGCCCCCCGCACCCGCCACCATCTCCTGTCCCCCCGGGATGGGGTCGGGCTGTCCTGAGCCCGTTTCCATTTCCCGATAACCTGGCTATCGCGGAGGGAGATAAGGCAGAGGGAACCAGGCAGCAGAGAGCTTTTGTTGTCTAGAAAGGCTCTGCACATCCCTGGCCGGAGGGGCTGGACCAGCGCCGGCTGCCCGGCCCCGCAGGGACACGGACACGGACACGGAGGGACTGCGCCGGGACAAGCGCTGTCCGCTCTTCCCAGGGGAACTTTCCAAGTTTCAATAACAAAAATCGGGGGTTTATTTTCTTTTTTGTCATTCCTGGCGGGAGGCAGGAACAACAGGGAACATTTCAAACAATCCCGTTTTCTTCCAGACTTAGTCACCGGAGAAACACTTTGCCCCGGGGCAAAGATGGGGTTTGGTTGCAGAGGGTTTGTTTGGAGTCTCACCTTTGCTTCGAGTTCATCAAGGTGTTTCTTGTCACTGGCAGGGACAGGCTTGGGGCTGGCTCTCGAGTCTCCTCAGTCCCTTCAGGGTTGTTTGACAGTTTATAGGATTTTTTCCCATCAACATTTTGTCCCAAAAAGTAACTCCCTGAAGTGATCCCTGCCTGAGTGTAATTAAAGTGGCTTTTGGGATGTAAATAAAAAGCCAGGTGATGGGTTCCTGAGAGACAGAGGCCACTGTAAAACCCACATGATTTTTGCTTGGGCTTCTCTAGGGTCCCTGGGATGCAGTCAGTGACCCTCTGCCTGGAAGGTGCCACGGGTGTAAACTGGCACCTGGGGGTGCCCACAGGGAGGCCACGAGCTGGTGGCACTGGCCATGCACAGAGCCTGCAGCCTGTGCTGGTGGCAGGACGACACAGTGGGGACAGGATGGACTGGGACCTGTCCCACGAGTAGCTCCCAGGGACAGGCAGAAAGTGCCAGTGATGTGACAGGCAATGGGGACAACGTCTGGAGGCCACTAAGAGACACCAGGATGGCTCGGGGGATGTCCCCGAGCCCTGTGGCAGTGGGCACAGGCAGCTCTCATCTCCTGCCTCCCTCTCAACATCCCAAGCAGGCAGACCCTGTCTGCATGTGTGTCCCTGGGGAGGCTGAGGGATCCTGGCCCCTTTCCCAGCCCCAGACAAAAGCCTGGGAACAAAAGCCTGCGGGATGCGGGAGGCATCTCCCGGCCGGGGGGTATTTGTTTAGCCCGGGGGGAGGTGAAGAGGGGAGAGGAAACTGCATTTCAAAGCGTTTCACCCTTTGAAAACCCTTCACAGCCCCCCCAGTGCCCTCTGCATGGCCCTGGTATCCCTGCGAGAGGACACCGAGTCCCCTCCGGCCACCTCCGCGTCTCTGTTGGGGAGGGAGTAAGAAAGATGTGGAAAGTTAAAAAAAAGAAAAAAAAAAAAGGAAATGCAGCCAGGAGGAGGGAGCAGATCGCTGCGGGAGCATTTCTCTGGCTCAGCCCCTCTCTGGGTGGGGAAGTTGGAGCCCCAGCTCCAGGGACTGACTGCTGGGCTGAGAGTGAGCTTGAGAATTCATGTGTTTCTCTCCAGTTGTCTTCATTTTCACAATTACACTGTTGGGGCTTTGGGGTGGGGATTAAGCTGAGGATGGATCAAAGCCTGCATTGGCCCCTTCCCAATCTACCAACACGCAGAGCTCCGGGCACACAGGTCTCCTGGGAGGTACTGCAGGAGGTTGGCAGAAGCCACCAGTCCAAGCCCATCCCTCGCAGCCCTGCCCAGGCTTCTCCAACGGTGCCACCAACACAGGGAGGGCTCTGGCCACCTACAGGCATCCTCAGGCTGCTTTTGCAGGTCCCCTCTTCATATCCATCACCCAGAGCTGGGCACATCCCTGCACACACAAACCCTCAGCACCTCCAGCCCTGACACCAGCCTGTGCCTCAGGAACACTGCACACATCAGGTCTCAGCTTTCCTGGGGATGTTTCGGTGTTTTGCCACCCTAAAAACACCATTTCCTCCGGGGCCAAGAAGGGATGTGCAGCAGAAACAGCCTCTGGCAGCTTCTCCTGAGAAGCAGCTTCCCAGTTTGCAACTTGTTGGAATCTGTGGGTATTGGTGATTCCGAGATTGTAGAAAGTCTCTGTCTTTCTGCCCCGTTGACAAAGCAGAAGCCATAATTCGTCTGTGCTGTTTCAAGGTTGTTTATTCTGTTTATCTCTAACATGTTCTGCTGCCCTGCCGCAGCTCTGTCCTGCAGGGCAGCGTGTGGGGCTCTGCCCTCAGTGGGATGGTACAAACATTAAATACCACAAACTCCCTGTGCTGGATTTACAATAACGTGCCAATATCTGTCACCTACGTTGGACAGTGTGTCCCCAGCCTGAACCAACAGAAAAATGCCAACACCACAGTGAAACATGGAGGGCATGAAGAAGGAGAAAAAGGACAAGACACACCCAATTCCTCCATCTTGTCCCCTCTGAACCCCTAATCTAGAAACCTAAAATTTTACTTTTGCACCCGTGCCACCCTTAATTATTACTCATATCAAACACTCAAAGCTTGTAATTCATCCTGTAAGATTGAAAACTCTTTTCCATGGGCAGAGATCACAGCCAGTGTCTCTGGGGGCTCTTTCCAGGGGGGTTCCTGACCCCTGCCAGGGTCCCAGCCCTGCCAGGGCAGCCAGAGGGAAGCCCTGGATTCCCACAGCAACTGGGCACTGTCCCAGTGAGTTACCCTGACCCTGTCACTGCACAGCAAGGCACCGTGCGAGCGAGACAGCTCAGCCCCAAACCCCCCAAACCCCAGGAAAGGAGGGATGTGGATCCCAGCCACTCCTGCCACCCTCCAGAGCTGAGCATTCCATAGAGATGAAGTGGGAGAGAGGTGCAGCTGACCACATCCCTGGGCTCTCCGGGCTCCCCGCTTCCCTCCGGCAGCGGCGCTGGGCAGATGGAAAGACCAAATGATGGCTTTGCAGGGGGCCTGGGATTTGTTTGAGCCATCGCTGTCTCAGTGAGTGACTTCGAATAACGGATACACTTGAGAAAATCGCCATCTGCTCCCGGACAATTCGCAACCAGAGGAAAAGGTGAAATAAATTCAGCGACTGTATTATCCGCCCGTCCGCAGCTCCGACAGCAGGGTCAGGCTTTGTGCAGCGTCCTGAAAGTGATTTGGGAATGAGAGGATGCTTTGGGATGAGCAAAGAGCAGACAACCAGAAAAGGATGGAAGAGTTGAGGCCCCGGGATGCTGCGCCCACAGCAGGGCTCTCCTGGCATCCCGGGTTTGGTGAGTTGGGCAGGAAGACAAAATCTCACCAGATCCCTTTTTTTTTTTCCATCTCTGAATTTCGAGTGCCTCCTGCTTCCAGCTGGGCTGGAAATACCACAAAAACAGATGCTACAATGCAGCACATTTCTTGTTTCAAACACTGGAAAGAATCAGACATGAAAAATAAATGCAGGGGGTTGCAGTGGATGGGCTGGCGATGAGGCTGAGGGCACTTGGAAGAGCCCTTGAACCCACAGCCCAGTCCATGCCAGCTCAACAGCTCCAAAAATCAAACCTTTCATCCTCAGCAAAGCAAACCCATTTCCAGGAGCAGATAAAAATGCCCCCTGCATCTCTGCTTGGCCATGCCTGTGAGCCCAGAACCCACACAATGCTTAGACTGATGTTTTTTATGCAGTTAGGAGGGGGATGAACCTTTGCCCCAAAGTCACAGCACTGTGCAGCAGTCCCTGTTTGAAGGGATCCCTGGTGCTTCCAACAGAACATCACTGGGGGAGAAAAACAGAGTTTGATCTTGCAGGGACAGGAAGAACAGGGGAAGAACAAGGCTAAATGTGACCATTTTTGGTGCCCTTTTACTCCTGGCAAGCCCAAAGTGAGGGTGCACAAGTGCCCAACACTAAACTGCCCTGCATTCTGCCTGCACCAAAGGGAGCCTGTTGCACAGGTGACGATGGGATTTCTTCTGCCTTTTCCTCCTCACTGGACTTTACCTGGACATGAAGGAGTGTTTGGCACCCAAGGAGCACCACCCAAGCTGGCCCCACCAGCCATTGCCTTAGCCAATGCCACCACCCCAACCCACCCCAGCCCTCCCCAGTGGGGCACAGCCATGGGGGCTGGATGGGGCAGCATTGGGGGTTGGATGGGACAGCTGGTGTGTGGGTGCAGGGCAGAGCCCCCCTGATGTGTTTGCTGCCAACACAAGAGATAAAACTCACATTTATTTGGAGCGGACAGGAGGTGGGTGCCTCCAAGAAAGAGAAAAATGACTGTGACCCAGCCCCAGGGGCACAGTCCTGACTGGGGTGTCACAGGGTGACACCCACCTGGTTGGGGGGGTCACTGGGGGACCCTCTACAAGGTTCTGGGGAGCCACAGAGGGGTCCCACCCTCTGGCACAGCATCCCTGGGCACGATGCTCTGGTGTGTGCTTCACCTCAGCCTGGCTGCGGCTGCCACAGCGGTCCCCTCCTCACGGTGGCATCTGGGATGGGGCCCCAGCTGGATCCCAAAAGGTTTCCTGGCAAGAGGCACGGGCAGCTCTTGCTCAGCACGGGGAGGGAAAGCGAGTGCCTGGGAGCAGGAACCCAGCTGGGACCCTGAGAAACGGGAGGATGAGGGAGGGGAGGAAGCGGAGGATGAGGATGGAGAGGAAGCGGAGGATGAGGAAGGGGAGGAAGCGGAGGATGAGGATGGAGAGGAAGCAGAGGACGGGGACGAGGATAAGGATGAGGATGAGGATGAGGATGAGGATGAGGATGAGGATGAGGACGAGGACGAGGACGAGGACGAGGATGAGGGTGAGGGTGAAGATGAGGACGAGGACGAGGATGAGGATGGGGATGAGGATGAGGATGAGGATGAGGATGAGGATCAGGATCAGGATGAGGAGGATGAGGATGAGGATGAGAATGAGGACGAGGACGGGGATGGGGATGAGGATGAGGATGAGGATGATGAAGATGAGGATGAGGATGAGGATGAGGATGAGGACGAGGACGAGGACGAGGACGAGGACGAGGATGATGAGGATGAGGATGAGGATCAGGATCAGGATCAGGATCAGGATCAGGATCAGGATGGGGATGAGGATGAGGATGAGGATGAGGATGAGGATGAGGATGAGGACGAGGACGAGGACGAGGACGAGGACGAGGATGAGGATGAGGATGAGGACGAGGATGAGGACGAGGACGAGGATGATGAGGATGAGGATGGCGAGGCAGGCGGGATGGCAGGGCAGACCGTGCAGCCGAGCGGCAGGAGCGGGAGCGGGAAGGCGAGGCAGCGCGAAGGAGGGAGCGGGAGCAGAAATCTGTTGCCCAGGCTGTGCGCTCCGCTGTCAGGCGGCTCTGATTAACGGGCTGCCTTCCAGCTCCGCGCCGCCTGCCTTCCTGGCAGGAGCGGAGCCCCCCGGCTTCCTGCCGGAGGAGTGGCTCGCTGAAAGGTTACATTTGCACAATGTGCCGCTGGAAAAGCGGTGCCAGAGGTTGCAGGCGGGGGAGCCGGGCGAGCAGGCAGCTCCGCTCCGCTCCGCTCTGCCTGTGTAATGGAAAAAACCCTCTGGGGACGAGCAGGAAAATATCAACTTACGCTGCTCCCCCAGCACGGCAAAGCTGGGCCCGGCCGGCCGTGGGTGGGGAAGGCGAGCAGGGGATGGGGTGATGGTGGGGGGCACCCCCGGAGCCCCAGTGCTGACCCGGATCAGCCCCACGGAGGGGCAGGACCGGGATCTGCCCGTGGCCGTGGGCTGTGGGGCTGTGGGGCACAGAGCCTTCCTTCGGGGCGCTCCCCACAAAGCCTTCGCACCTGCCAGCATCGGGATCTCTGCTGCCTGCTGGGGAAAGCTGAGGCTGTGGAGGGGAAATGTTGGAATCTGGCAAGGAAGGATTTCCTGCAATGGAGGCTCCGGCCTCGCTGCTGTGATTTACAGGCTTGGCACAGCCGCGGCTACATCCACTCACACGCACATGTCTCATCCCCAGCCTTTCTACCTCATAACTTCTGGTCTGGGAATATTATTTTGGTGTCTGGGAAGTCCAGTTCAGATTGCTGAACCCACCATAGCTGCTGTCTGCTCGAGAGCATACCCTAAAAAACTCTGCTCACCTCCTCCATCATCCCTCTTGCACCAAAACAAATTCTCCTGAGCATCTCAGCACTCTCCAGGGCAAAGCCCTTCGTCCCTTTCTGCACAAGACCTCCTTTCACCTTCTCATTTCTTCATTGCATCTCAGTTTGGTCACCTTTTTGCACCACAGCCACGGAGGAGTGGTCAGGGCAGCAGGGACAGCACCCAGCCTCACCCCAGGGTGCTGGAGCCAGCTCACTCTGTCTTGCAGGATCTGGCATTTTCCTTTCTGGTCTCCCCTGTTTCCTTGGTTTCAAGCTTTTTCTTCCTCATTGAGCCCCTAATTAAAAGAAAACTCTGGAGGAATCCCAAATTCAGGGCACTCAGAGCGGGCCTGCAGCTGCCCCTGCAGGCTCTCCCTGCCTGGGTGTGGGGCCTGTGGTCGTGCCCTGGCTCCTTGGGTTTTGTCCCAAAGCTTTTAAAGCCCCAGACTCCAAACCCCACCAGGTGGCCCTGCTCAGCATGGCCCAGCTGGGTCCCCACCACGCTGGGGTGTGAGTCCTCCCCCTCCGCTGTCCCCGGCTTCCCTCTGTGTTTTCATTAGGATTTGGAGATAAGCCTCCAAATAAAGGCAGTGTTTTTAACCACTCTGCCTTATCAGCCGGCATCCAACAGCATTCCCCATCCACACAGCGAGGCTTGGAAGACGCTCTAAGGGGAAAAGGGACCCCAAACATGCAGATCTCCCTTTCTCCCAACCCCACAGCACTGTGGTTCTCTGGAGGGCACCAGTGGCTTTGGGAAACAATTTCTAGTACCGGCCCCTGCTCAGGGACAGCAGTGTTAATGCAACCACATGCATGAATACAACCTAAGGAGCGATTCAGCACACCTGGATTTTATTCCTGGTTGTGCCACTGGCCCGGGGATGACCTTCAGCAAGTTGTTTCTCTTCCCTGTGCCTGTGTTTCTGCTTGCTCTCCCTCTCTCAGCCCTTTCTAAGCCCAGCAATGCTCTGCCCCAGCCCAAGGAGACAAAATCCCCCACAAAAAGGTGAGCAAATGGCAGCATCCCTGGGTCCTACATCCTCCAAGTGCTCAGCAGAGACTCCCCTCACTGAGCCTCCTCCATACTGGGCCGTCCCATTGCTCATTTTTCAGCGTGTGTGCAAAGGCCTGAATATAGGAACCAGCTGCCAGCAGCTCCCAGCTCCCAAACGCTGCCCTGGGGAAAATCAGTGCCTCACAGGAGCCTTGCCCTGGGGTGTCCTCTGGGAAAAGGCTGAAGATGGGTCTCACTCTCTTTCTTTTAGTATTGGAGACTGTTGTGGGGCAGAAGTGGAGTAATGCCAGTGATGGCAGCAAACTCACTCCCTTTTAGCACCCACCTGCTTGGGGGCAGCAAACCAACCCCAACACCCCAGATAAGCCCTACTGTGGTTGCCCAAAGAGCCACCACACCACAGAGGATCTTCACTAGAGTTCAGCCCTATTAGAGACCCATTAATGGCATCAGGAGCACTTCCAGCTGGCTGGCACAGAGGAACACAAACAGAGGCCATTCTGCCCCTCACTGTCAGGGTCTCGGTGCACTGGAGGCAGAGGCTCCCATGGGATGTGGGCAGGGAAGGCAGGAGATGCATCAGATCCTGGGCACAGCATCCTGCTGACACCACAGCCCTGCTGGGCTCCCTCCCTGCACAGAAGGAGGTGTTGGGGGTTGGTGGGAGAGCAGCATGGGGGGCACACACCCCTCCCATCCTGGGGCAGGAGGGTGATGGTGCAGTCTGGCAGCACCCACATCCACAGCACATCAGCCCTGGGAGCATGGCAGGAACCTGGCACTGGGAATGGCAGGGGAAAAGATGTCCTGTGGTAAATGCCTCCAGTGCAGAGGGGATCCCAGAATCTCCACTGCAGGCCCCGTTGCCAGAGCTTGCAAAGAATCCCAAAGTCAAAGCACAGCCAAGAGGCTGAGCTCTTTGGGGACTTGATCTGCCCACAACACTCAGCATGGTGGCTTCTGGGGACAAGTGTGTCACCCTGGGAGCTGCTGAGCACTCTCACCTCCATCCTGCACACATTGACTTTCATGAGTCAGAGCCCATCTCCAGGATGATGTTGTTTCCTGCCATTTTCCCAAACAAGGTCTCCAACCATACCAAAAACCCTTCAGTCCACAGAGCCCTCACTTGAAGACAGCAGAGATCTTGTGGATTGCATGGGGCTGGCGTTCTTCCTCCTTTCCAGCTGTTAAATTGCATTATAGACAGTTAAAAATACATCACATACTTTCCTAGTGTGACTTTTCCATGGTAAGCAGCAGCACGGCTGGAGGTGAGATGCTGGAGGTTGCAGGAGGGCTGCTCACTTGTGTCCATGGATTTGGACAAATTTGGGTCCCACAGAAGGGGATTGTGTGGCCCCGTGGCAGATTTGAGCTCAGCAGACTGACCCAATTTGTTCACTGTCTCTTGCCTCAGTTTCCCCACTTATGGCCCATTCTCTGCAATAAAATCTCACGTGAACTAAAACTTGACAGGGTTTGTTGGGCTCTATAGCAAACGGGTGTTCTGCACAGGGATCAGAGGTTAACAGAAGTGCAGGGCTCAGCTGGAAATGATCTGTTCATACATTGTAGCAGAGAAGCCTAATTCCTGAGCATGACTGGAGCTGAGCACATGGAATCCCATGGAAATGCCAGAGGGACGTGGCCCGGCCGGAGCCCGCAGCGGGCACGGGACAGCTGTGAGCTCAGCCTGAGCAGAGCATTGCTGTGGGCCATGTTTGAGCTGGGATCAGTCTCCCAGCAGCACAGCAAGCTCTGCTGAGGTCTGGAGTGGGTGGGAAAAAAAACCCTTTGGCTTTCTAGAGCACTTGAAGGAACAGCCTGTGTCCCCAAGGATGGAATCCCTTGCAGCCAGAGACACCTGTGGTGTGGGCAAGGTAAAAAGAAAGCAAAGGAGATCCCCTTGGATCCAGGTCCAGCCCCCTCTGCCCTGACCCAGACCAGCCCTGACAGCACCTCCTCAAGCCCCTGCAGGACCAATGCCACAGCCCCAAGAGGAGCCCAGCACCCCAAAACAGCAGAGACACCCTGGACCCCAGCAAGGGGCTGGGATGGGGAGGAGAACCTACGAGAGGGTGAGGAAAGAGTTAAACCCCCGCACTGCCAGCCCTCCCTCCTGCTTCTCTGCTAACTTTGGGAGGAAGGGAATAGCATAAAGGTAAGAGTGGAGGAAGGAGAGAGGAGACAGATGAGAGAAGGAGCGAGGGAGAGGGGGAGCGGGAGAGAGGAACAGACGGCAGAGAGGGAGAGCGTGGGGGGGAAGATGCTGACGCTTCTCCTCCATCTCGGCGAGAGGCAGATAGAGGGGAACAAGGGGGGGGAAAAAAGAAGGCAAAGACCAAGGGAACATGGGAGAGGGAGAAGGAAGGAGCCGGAGCGAGGGAGCATGTGTGAAAGTCGCAGTGAGAGAAGGGGCCTCTTTGATTCCCCGTGCCTCATACCAGACAGTGTCTAGACTGCAGCAATTATTGTCAGCTCAGAACACCCAGGCATTGCCATTTCAGCTGAAAGGGAGCTTAACAAAGAGTGAGGGAGAAAAAAAATACCCTGCCGGCGGTTAGCTGGGCTCCCTCCAGCACAAGGGGCTCTTCGGAGGGTCCCTCCATCGCCCGCGCCCCCCGAGCCCAGCCCCAGGTGCCCTCACAGCAGCGGCTGTGGAGGAGGCCACGGGTGCAAACAATTCCTGACCCAGCTTTGGCTGCTTTTGGGGTGCAGCTGTTGGTTCAAGTCTCCCTGCAAGCCCAGGTTATGGGGCTGAGGGCATGGCAGGCAGGGCCAGTGGGGGAGGAAGGTTGGGGTGTCCCAGTGGAGGGGCAGCTCCCCGGCAGGCAGCGTTTGGCCGTGAGTGCCCATGGAGCTGCTCCCCAGACCAACAGCTGATGGTCAGATGGACACCTCGGCCTCACCCCAGAGTCCAGGGGATGCACACACCTTCTCCAAGCAGTGGGGATGTGAATCCCAGAGCTGGGCACCCCAATGTACACTCGTCCTGCAGCTCCTCAGCTCCCTTGGGCCTCAGGAAATCATGGGAGGTCACTCCTGCAAATTCACAGGAATAAAAATAATCCCTCCTGTCCTCTCCTCCATCCTGCCTCCTCACCTACTGCTAGGGGAGTTACCCTTTCCCCTCTGGAACCCTTTGCCCTCTGAGGGGTTTTTGTGCTGTCTGCAGGTCTGGGATGTGGCTGAGACTCCCACGAGGGAATTAACACCCAGAACTGGCTGTGAGTCAGGAATTCCTGCCTCCCGCTGGAAACACCCACCATGTGCCCCCCAGCTCTGCGGTGACAGCCAGCTCCAAATACCTCAGAGGGGAAGAGGTGAGAAGGAGAATTTGATGCCCTGTCTCAATCACTTCCATGGGTTTGGGGGTGCTGATGATCCCACTCAGCTGCCCATGGGGGTGCCTTGCAGATGAGCCCCTTTGGAAGCATCTCCAGCTCCAAGGCTGTGCCACACATCTTTTAAATTTGGGTGCATGAAGCAGCCTGGCCAAGTGACCTTCTCCACTGCTGGATGGCAGCGGGGACCGTCCCTGCAGAGGTCTTGGCCCATCTGCTGGGAAGGGCGGCCGATCCCTCCAGATACTGGAGCACAGCTCTGGTTTAATTAGCACTTTTAATGCTTGGAAAGGAGGCTCGAGGGAATACCCAGCAGGTTGGACATGATTTCCTCACTAGCAATCCAGCCTGGCAACAGGGAAGATCCCCAGCTTCAGCTTGCTTAGCTGGGATGCGGTGACTTTGCCCTGGGGTCTAAACCATGGCAAATATCCTTGGCGAGCCCCACTTGGGCCCCTCAGTCCAGGGACACCTTTGTCAGAAGGCATTTTTGTAGCAAACCCCAGCAGTCAGCATGGGTTGTACTGTGAGCAATGCCTGACCCCAAACCAGCTCAACTCACCTGTTTGTCCTTGTCCCCCACTGCCTTTATGGAACAATATCCATTTTCTGACCCGGTCTGGTCATGTCTGCTAAATCAAGGATTCCTTCTCCCCTGGGTACATGGCACTGATGTTGCTGTGTGGATAAAATCAGCCTCATTCGGGATCTGGCCGCTGTGGCAGATCAGAGGAGATGACAGCACAGGTCCCACAAAGGGCCAGGGTGGCAAAACCTGCCTGAGGAGGGATTTGTGCCCTTGTTCCCTTGGCTGCCATGGTGTGTACGTGGAGATGATGCCATTTTCCAGTGCAGGGTTCCCCGGGTGAGAGCCAGAGGAGGGGAAGGCCAGCGCTGCCCATTGCTCACATCCCATCACAGTGATGTCCTCAGCTCCCCATGCTGTGGTGCTCAGCTCCCTCATAGGCTTCTGCATCTCAAGGATGGAGTGTCCAGCTCCAGTGAAGCTCCACAGGCAGGGCTGGTAATGCTCCAGCCATGGAGGATGCTGAGATTCCAACACGTGGGTGCTGCAGTGAAACCAATATGTGATATGAGCAGTGGCACATCTTCCCCTTGTGAGCTTGGGCTCTGTTTGACCTCCACAGGGAGATTTTGGCCAGCCCACCCTGACCCAGACCTGTGACTGACTTGTGGGCTTGCAGGAGTGTTTTCCCAAAGACCTGAAAACTGCAGGGCTTCAGAAGTATTGCCCCGGGGAGTCGGCAGAGCCATGAAATGCACCGGGACTGCCACCGGGCTGCACTGAGGCCTCTGTGCCTGTCTCTGATGCCAGAGTTGCCATGAAGCCTAGGAAGGCAATGCAAGAAAGAAAGGCCTTGCCTTCTCCTCCATGACCCTTCCAGTGCTCCTCCCTCGGGCAGTCTGAGCCTTCCAGAGCAACCTGGGGAGCCCCGGCTCCCCACAGAGCCCCGACACCACTCAGCCCTGCAGAGATGCAGGGTCCCACAGCAGCCCATGAAGCCACCACCATGTGCCCACAGCCAGGGCCCCACAGGGTCCCTGCGTGTCCCCGGCTCCCTGAAATGGCCACAGCTCCCGGCAGCAGGGAGAGGAGGGACCCGGGAAGCCTCAGCTGCAGGGGTACGTGCAGTGCTGGTTTGTGCTGTGCTGTGCTGTGCTGTGCTATCTGCGCTGTGCTGGTCTGTGCTGGTCTGTGCTGAGCTGTGCTGTGCTGTGCTGTGCTGTGCTGTGCTATCTGTGTTGTGCTGTGCTGTGCTGTGCTGTGCTGTGCTGTGCTGTGCTGTGCTGAGCTATCCGTGCTGTGCTGTTCTGTGCTGCTCTGTGCTATCCGTGCTGTGTTGTGCTGTGCTATCTGTGCTGTGCTGGTCTGTGCTATCCGTGCTGGTCTGTTCTGTGCTGTGCTATGCTATCCGTGCTGTGCTGTGCTATCTGTGCTGTTCTGTGCTATCTGTGCTATCCATGCTGTGCTGGTCTGTGCTGTGCTGTGCTGGTCTGTGCTGTGCTGTGCTGGTCTGTGCTATCCGTGCTGGTCTGAGCTGTCTGTGCTGGTCTGTGCTATCTGTGCTGTGCTGTGCTGAGCTGTGCTATCCGTGCTGTGCTGTTCTGTGCTGTTCTGTGCTGTTCTGTGCTGTTCTGTGCTGGTCTGAGCTGTCTGTGTGAGAGCGGCGGTGGGAGTGGAGCCGGCTCCATCCCTCTCCCGGGCAGCGCAGGGGCCGGAGGGGCCGGAGGAAGGCACGGGCAGCCGGAGCTCTCCGGCAGCAGCAGGGACACCATCAGCCCGGCTTGGCACGGCTCTGCATCCTGTCCTGTCCTGTCCTGAGCACCGCGCCAGGGCCGGGGCCGTGCGGGGCGGCACATGGGCAGCCCTGGCACCCCTGTGCCACAGCACGACCCTCGCTCACCTTCCCGCTCTTCATCCCTCCCCTCTGCAAAGCTGTCTGCAAATGCCAAACGCCTGTTTTCCAGTTCCTCCAGATTTACCCCCTCCTCCTCCTCCTCCACCCCCCCGCCCCCCCCTCCTTCCTTCCTTTCTTCTTCCTGGGTTAAAAATAATCAAGTTTCTGGGAAGCAGCAGCCCTGCTGCGCCTGCCTCCCTGCACTCGCGCCCCGGAGAATAGCTCGGCTCGGCTCGCTCCGGCCCCTCCTCGCCGCTCTCTCCTTCCTCCTCCCCACCCCCTACAGGGATCTGACTAATATGCTTGGGCTCTGCTTGCCAGCTCAGCTGGAAAGGAATTTAACCATTGCGTGCCCTGGAGGGAAGGAGTGGAGAGCCCAGACCTCTCTCCATCACCCGGGACCCCTGCTCTGGGTCCCTGCCCACCGTGCTGCCTTCAGGGCTGCCCAGAGGATGATGGAGGAGAAGGGATGCACGGTGCCAGCAACCCATGGCGAGTGTTGGTCTCAGCCCCAAACTTACACGGGTGCAATAACCCTCCTGGGGTCCCTCGGAGATATCCTGCCTTCCTGTAGGCAAAATGCAGCACCCCAGGGCTTGGCCCGTGGGAGCTCCTGATCCAGCCAAGGTGCTCCCTGGGCACCCACACCCCTGCCTGCAGCCTGGTGAGGGTGGCAGCTGCTCAGGGGTCACAGTGGGACCAGCAGCCCCAGCCCCACAGCTGTGAGGTCTGCAGGGAGTGGTCCCCGGGTTCAGGGATCCATGGCTCAGCCCTGCTGCAGTGCAGCTCTGGCAGGAGCTGGCAGCCCTCCGCCCACTGCTGGGACTCAGCTTTGCCTTCAGCACAGGGAATAGGAAGCAGGAGAAAAGGCAGGGTCACACCTGGGTAAAAACCATGCGTGGGGTGGGGGAAAAACTCCTCCGAGGCTAAATCCCCTCCACTCTCCCCGCTGCCAGCCAGGCTCTGAGCACAAGCAGATTTCCCAGCACAGCTGTGGGACACAGGGCGCTGCTTTTACAGCAGGGCAAGCAAAGCAGAAAGCCTTGACCAAGGTTATCCCAGTGAGTCTGTGGCAGAGCTAAGAACTGACTCCCTCCTCTCACCTCCTCGAGGCTCCAGCTTGCTGGTGTATTGCAGCATCTCCCTGCTCGGCCAAAAACTCCCCTTGAAATCCCCTGGCCAATGCAGAAGGACTCCAAGGCCAGAAATCCTAAGCTCAGCACCCCAGGGCCGAGCGGAGCCAAGAGGCACCGGCTGGGCCACCGCTCACCCCCCGCGCTGGCTCAGCCCCGCTGCTCCGGTGCCAGGGCACAAATCGTCCCGGAGGAGGACACTGCCCTTCCCGGAGCCACTGCCGGGAGAGCTGCAAGTGCAGCCCCTCTGGAGATGGGGCTGGGAAGGAGGAGAGGGCACTGGGCACAAGGCAGGGACCCGGTGACTGCAGGAAAGCTGCTGCCAAAGGATCACCCCTTAGCTGCTGGGATGCTCTCTAGAGCGAGGTCCAGCGTTGCAAAAGGGATCTGAAAGAAGATGTCTTCTCTCCAAATCCTCCCTCAAATGGCAGTTCTGCTGTAAAACAGGGTAGGATGAAGCTAAGTGTTTGTTTTCTCTGCAGGACCCAAGCACGGCTCAGGCTGGGACTGTGAGCCAGGCTGGCTCCTCACCGGCAGCCCCGCAGGAGCAGGACCTGCAGCTCCAGCTCTGCTCTCCAGCAGAGCCATAGCTCGGTGCAGGGCTCAGGGCAGGAGACAGGAGGGAATAAGTCTCCAGTTTGTTCCTAACTTAGCTGCCTGCCACAGGATGGGTGTGTGGGGGACCTGCGAGCCCTCACTCTGCACCAGGAGATGCATGGCCAGAGCCTCTGTGGCTCCACACAGCCGACAGTCAGGGTGTGAAAGAACTGATGGCAGGACACAGCCAGGAGCCAGAGCAGAGCCAGGCTCTGACCATCCCTAGGCGAGCAAAAACACCCCTATTCCAAATCCTCTGGTGCCTTGGGAGCTCCCTCCAGCACTGCCTGTCCCACAAGCCCTGCAGCAACCTCAGCAGCCAGGAAACGCTGGCAGGAGTGAAAGGGATTGAGAAACTGCAGGCAGCAGGATGAGACATGAGCCAGCACAAGCAGGATGTGACTCGGGGGTGACTGGGACTGCCGGAGCGGTGTCACCAGGAATCAGTACCTGGGGCCCATCCTGTACCCTCCCATGCTCCTCACAGCTAAGCCCAAGCCCAACCTCTGTTCCCCACACAAATCACCAGGTCCCATTTGTATTTCACCACCTAAATCCTCTGTTAACAGCACGGTGATGTTTTCTCCCTCTATCCACCCCAGGCTTTTACACTCCCAACCTGCCCAAGGCTGTTGCCCAGGGCTATCCCTGTCACCACAGTGCCCCAGCCCCCTCACCCCATCTGCAGGGCACAGCTGATATTTCCCAAGATTTTTTCAGCACAGACTGGATGGCAGCAGTTTGGGGTGAAGGGGAGCTCAGACACTGGCTAGACTTCCCCCTTGTCCTGCCTCAAACCAGCTGTTGTAGTGCTGCAGGAAAGGAGAAAGGAGATGATGATTGAGGAGAAGCAGGGAAGAAAAAACACAGGATTTTTTTTTTTTTTTCCCTACTAAACACCCAAAGCTTTGTTTATCCACCAGCCCCTCAAGCTGAGGCTGGCTGATTCCAAGGTGGCCCCTTCCATGGTGCTGTCTTCCCTGTAGCTCCCATCTCCTATTCCCTCAGTCCCTCCCCTGCGTGGGCCATGATCCCTGGTGGGGTGTCCAGCTCACCCTCACATTTCACAGCTCCAGCATGGCTAAGGAAAGCCAACTTAGCTGGCATTCCTGCAGAATTACCTGTTCTTCCAGCCAAGGAGCTCAGCTGAATTCCCCTACCTGCATCCGGGCTCACCAGCCTTCCCTTCATGTGGGAAATTATTTACCTTGGGTGAGGAAAAACAGAGCAAAAGTGGATTTAACAGCTGTTAAATCCAGTAAAGCCCAAAGCTTCTTCTGCTTCAGCTGCTTCCTTGCTATGGGGGAGGAGAGCAGGGAGATGTCAGCCTGCCGTGGACACCCAGGACATCCAAGGACACTCAGGACACCCAAGCCTCGGGTAGATAAGGTCATCCCACATTCCTACAGAAAAACACCATGATAAAAACCCTATTGCACTAACAGCTCCAACACTAGACAACAAAATCTCAGGGGGGTAAGATGTTGCACCTCTTCTTTTCCATCTCTCCCACAGGCAGGGCACAAGGACATCTTCCCAGGGGAGAGAAAATTCCAAAGCTTGGGATGGAGAAACAGCACTGCAGGAGTGCAGTTAAGGCTGGATGCCAGGATATCCTTCTGGGACACACCTCTGGACTCAGGAGGATGCAGGAGCAAACCAACACATCACAGCAATGCCCCAAAACTCAGCTGCTCCCTGGGTAGCACACTGTCTCCAAGGTGGGCCAAAACCTTATCCTCCATCCCTGATCCAGGAGTGTCCCCATTGTCTTTCCATGGCCAGCTCCAACCCTGGCAGGGAGGCACCAGCTGGGAGGCTGTGATGGGGACTTGCACTGTGCTCTACTCTCTTGGTCACTGTCATCTTTCCAGGAGCTGAGGAGGAATTTCTTTGTTTGATTTTGAGGGAATAGTAAATTCACAAACAATCAGAAGATTCAAAAAGGCTGAATCATCCTGAAACTCAGGGTGAAATTGAAAAAGTCTTTGGAATGAAAAAAAGTAATACCAGTGCCAGGCAAAGGAGATGGCTTTGAAGATGTAAACCACCTTCTCCCATCAGTCACCTGATGATCTGTTGTATTCTGGCATTTTCTAAAAGAATCTTCTTGATTTCTTCATTTTAAAAAAGCCTATTTTTTTCAATTCAAAAATTGTCTCAATGTAAAAGAAAATATCTAAGTAAATTAGGCAAATCCCAAACAGAAAAAACCAAAACCATTTCAGGCTAAACCAAACATTCTGGCTTTACCTAAAACAATTGCTTACACCAGGATGGGGTGGTTTCTTTTCTTTCGCATTTTACCAGAAATTGCCTACTAAATCCTTGTTTTGAGTTGGCATGGTCCAATTCCCACACCAAAGACATTCCATTTGGGCACCAAGCAACACTTTCCATTCATTTTTCCAGCAACATGGTTCTCCACCAATGGACCAGACCCACTGCAGTAGATGAACCCTTTGGTTCTCCTTCCTTACAGACCTCAGAGCCTGCCCTGTGCACCCTGCCCAGGACCCTCAAGGAACCTCCTCTGGAGAGGGGAACACTCTCTCTTCTCAGGAGATCTGATTTCCAACCCAGCCCAACCCGATTTAACTCAACCCAACCCTATGCTACCCATCCTTCTTGTTGCCACCACCCATACCCCCAGCCTCCAAGCCTGCCAACCTGGACTAGGTGGCATCATATCCAACCCAAGCTCACCACGCAGCCATGGCCCCAAGAAAAGGAATTTACTAGCCAAAAAAAGCACAAAAAACCAAAAAAAAAAAAACCCAAACAACCAAAAAAAACCCAACCAACCAAACAAAAAACCCCAGTTTTCCCTAAGGATGAAGTGGAGCAGGCTGGGAGTGGGGTGTTAGACAGAGGTGCCGGGCTGCATTTCCACCTTCACACCTGGCTGCAGAGGCAAGCGGCAGCAGGGCTGCGCATTCCAACCCCAGGCAGAGAGGTGAAACCCCAAGAAAGTAGCAAACAAGTCGAGGCGTAAATACAGCACGAATCCACGGCACTTCAGCGTGGTTCGTTATCTCCGCTTAGACTGGAGTCGGTGGAGCCGGGTTTGAGAAGAGCAGAAATATCAGCAATTAAAGATATGTCGTGTCAAAAAAACTCTAAACTGATTAAAGTTGAAGGCTCCGTTTTCTTCTTTTCATCAGAGAACGGAATCAAAACCTGCCTGGAAAGACGCGCTCCCCCCGTTCCCAGCGCTCCGAAGGCAGCGCCTGCATCCGTCCTGCTGTGTCCCTGCATTTTAATTACCACCTTATTAATATTCATGAGGCTAGGCACTCAAGGGGGATTGCAGTCTGTCATTCTCTCTCTCTTTCTCTCTCTTCCCCCCCTACCTCTCTCGGCTGAGTCGGTGGGGTTTTTTTTCCCTTCCCCTTCCCAACAGTTGGCGCGCTGCGGACCCGCACGCGTGTGCGCAGCCCCGAGGGCACCGGGCGAGAGAGGGGCCGCGGCGTGGGGACACCGCCGGTGCCGCTGGTGGCAGGACCGGGAATGCGGGTGGGTGTGGGATTGCCCCTGCCACGCTCGGCAGCACCGGCAGCCGGAGGCAAAACCGCCCCCGTGGGGGCGTGATGCTGGCACACGAGGGAGAGCTGGCACACGGGGGAAATGTGTCTCACACACACACACACACACACACACACACAACTCCTGGTAGCAGCATCACTGCTGAGTGCTGGCGTGATGTTGTAGGACCTCCAAGAGAAGAATGGGGCTGTGCAGAATGGCAGCAGGTGAACACAGCTGCTGTCAGCCCCCACAGCACCACCTCTTCTTGGGGACTGAGCACCGTGCACCCCAGTTCACTCTGCGCCTCAGCTCTCCATGCTCATGCAAAAGCACCCGCTGCTGCAGCAGGTGAGAGCTGTGTCCTTGATGGAGCCACCGCTTTGGCCATCAAGGTGAAGTGGGACCTGAGTCTTGCATGCACCCAGCAAGGGGCTGCCCCCACAGCAGTGCCCCAGCTGCAGGCTGGGCAAATTGGACCCCATTTGTTTTCTCGGGTCCAAGGCGCTGAGGAGAGGGGCAGCAAGCCTGGGTTAAGGGCACACAGAGGGAATGGAGCTGGAGGTAAATCGATTTCTCGCTCCTAAATTGAGCAATGTGGGGTTTGCACTCTCCTTGCTGCCACGCAGTGTTTAACACTTTCTACCTCCAGTGCTGAAAACAGAGGCCACATGTGCAGCAGAAAACTGTCCTTGCTTTGCAAACCCTGCTCCTCCCTATCCCCTCTGGGGTCACTGTCCCAGTCCCTCCCTGAGAGATGATGCAGAGCCCAGCCACAGGTGATGGGAAGGTGCCCCCATCACCTCACACCGTTCAAAGCCATTGGCAAAGGGACACACAGGGCTCACCCATCCCAACAGCCACCAGTTGCAGGCTGTAGCCCACCTCCCTTCTGCAGGCAGCTACAGCCACACCATAGTCCCACCTTCCCCCAGTATCTTCCTCTTCCATCTAACCCTAACCTTAACCCTAAGGATAGCTTCAGGAACCTGAAGTCTCTTTGGGAATGCATCCTGTATCCCACAGGGCTGCCTCCCCATCACCAACCACCTGCAAGCAACCTGTCGAGAGACACTCCAACTCGGCGGCTCCCCAACGCCCCACTTGCTCAGCTCCACAAATATTTGAATTAAGGTCCCCTGGGGAGCCACAGTCACAGAGTAACTGATTTCTCCTCCTTCATTATATCTCTGTGTAATTTACCGAGGGACGGCGGCGTGTGCCTCCGTTCCAGCGAATTCCCAGCAGGACTCCCAAGAGCTCACAAATCAGGAAAAGGCAAGGCATTAGAATATGAAAGGTGAGGATGGTCTCCCCACCAAGACTCATCTTACTCTTCCCCAACTCCTCCAGCTCCACCAGTCCTGAACTGTGTTTTATTTTTGCCTGCTGCCCCTT